TAACTCTAGCCTCCAGCTGTATCTGGGGAATAAAAGCACTGTTGGGGTGTTTGATCGGCATGGAAGTTGCGGTTGTGGGGGTAACTGCATCCCAGGAAAATACTCTGCTGGCAGGTCTCTCTACCATATTGGATAATATGGCCTTGAAAGAAAAAGAGGCTCAAGAGCGAGACGCGGCATGGAAGAGAAGTCTTAACGAAACCACTCGTCTATACAACGAACAGGCTTCAACCTTTGCTAAGTTCTCCACAACCGCAGAAACTTTGCTTCTTAAATTGCAAGATGTGCAGAATAACAAACAATATTCCAGGATCATAACAATGGATGACTTTGAATGATTTTAGATGATTTAAAGTCAATAAAGCTCAATGAACATAACACATTATAGATACTCGTATGTATGGAATAAAATATCATTGGATAACCTCCTCATTTCTTTTTATTTTTTTATGTAAGTCCAGAAACTCTTGGGGTCCTTGATTTAAATATTCTACGATTTTAAACAACTATAAAGGTATTCTTCAAAATTCTAAAATTTTTCTTTTGTTTTGGCTCGTTCTTTTTATTTTTATTATTTCGGATTTCAAAATTGTATGTGTGTGCGGATTGGTGGATGCTAACGACTGCAAATGCAGCCGGGACCAACAGATGAGCCATGGAGCACGAAGAAGCTCGAGATACTAAATTTTTGGTCACCCATCCAATGACTGACCACTGGGAAGGTAGTAGGTTTTTTTTTTACTAATATAAGGTGAGGTTTCAAATGTTACACATCATACGCGACTACTGTAAGGCTCGCTCGGTTTTTTTAAGTTACCTTCGATGGATTGTGAGCTTATCAACACAGGCATACCAATCAAATATTTTTATCTCATTTTTACTTACCTTTCTGGTAAAAATACAGTCCGTTTTATTTTAACACTGATAGAAACGCTGCTTTCAAATTAAACGGGAATGGACGTTAATTTTGCCACTAAGCTTTGTAAAACTAGCAGATTTAATGTTTCTTAATTGAATGTACAATGAAATTGTTCCAAATAAAGTTATTGTTATTATTTTACTGTGATCTGTAAGGTACAGGTTACTCTCCCAGACGGGTGTTCCCATTCGAGCGAAAAATTCGCTATGCCCTTACTGTGTTTAAATTACTTAGCTAGAAAGAGTAAGTAGGTAACATTACATCATTATAGCGTCCCATAGTTATTCAAATGAGCTATTTGTCTTACTATAAATCCACGGGAAACGATCACAAACAGTAGGCCTTTATATTTCAACACGAGCCACCGACTAAGACGACTTCTGATATCGGTAAGTCGTTACGTTCTTAATGCTAAGGCCATAAGATTGAAAACGCCTTGTCAAACTTAACAATCAACATGAACCCTTTTTTTAATACTTCGGTATACAGATAATTAAAGGGAGGTGTTATCGGAGGAGCGGTACACTTGATTGTGACTTTTTTAATACCATTGTTAAAATGTCTAGACCTTTTTTGAGTCTGCCTGGATGATAACGAGTAATTGAATGGAATTACAGGCAATTATCTTAATACGCGTTACGTTATCATGTCAGTGGTAATTTTGCCTAGGTAGGTATGTCCGTAGTCGCAGTGTCGCAGGCGAATGTTGAGACAGGCGAGGTGTGAAACGTTTAAGAATAAAAATTGATAATGAAAATGGTGCGGTAGGTACTTAGGTAATTTCTTTTCAGATCACATAGGTACGAAAGTGGTCATATACATATTGCAAGTACCTATGGTTAAAAGATAGGTAGATAATATTAACCTCCTGCCTACATCTGTACTACAGACAGGACATAGGAATTAAAAAAATATATTACTGGTTTTTAAAATGGTAACCCCAAAATATTTGGGTGGTGACATCTATCGACTATCTGGGTTTCATAATAGAGATAAATGTCAAATCCCATGTGTTCCTCTTTTTTCAAAATGGCGATGGAAGAAAGATGTGTGTCGGTGTGCGCGCGCAGAAAAAGTTAATCCATTTAAATCTTTCATAAATTTTAATTATTAATGGATTTCTTACGATAGCCAAGAAATTAAAAGTATAAAATGATGATATGCAGTCTTATTTTCGCGTAATTTTATAAAACATGCAAGGCAGCCATATTGTATTTTTTATGTCCTTTGCAGAAGACAGATGTAGGCAATAAAAGTTTTAGTACTATGACTTCCGATGTACTGTATAAAGTACATTGATAGACATTATATCATAATTTATGATTGTTCTAGTTTTAACGGACAATGGGATAGCGGAGGCTTTAAATGATTCTGAGTTTGCTTTTCGGGAGATGACTCAGATGAAGATCCAGAGTTTGTGCCGCCAGAACTTAACCAAAGAGCTAATGATCATTAAACCAGTGAGTCAAGCAGTTCAGATGACGAAAACACATTGGTTACTTCAGCTGCTTCTCCGGCGTTCTCTAGTAGCTCTGACATCGCATCGACGTCATCACGGTCTCGCTCAAAAGGACGTGGCAGAAGTGTTTCACGAGGACGTGGTCGTGGACGTGACCTCAGTTTGAGCGATGATACTCCACGGCCACAATCGTCGCCTTTGTCAACCCGGCAGATTGCGATCAGGAATCGTCACATAATGATGGCTTTCAAGACACCTGGACCAAGGATACATTTGATTCAGAGGTTACTGAATTGATGCAGCCAGCATATATACACAAAGAAACGAAGGATTGGGAATGGAATCAATTCTATGATCAATATATCGACGACAACATTTTAACAACTATCGTCAACTGTATGAATAGAACGCATATCTTGGGGACAGGAAAATCTATGGGGCTTACATTGAGAGAACTTAAAACATATATAGGTATAACAATGATAATGTCAGCACTGCAGTATCCACAAATTGATATGTACTGGTCGGAAAAGTGGCAAGTTCCCATAATCGCAATGGCTATGACAAGGAACAGATTCTTCTTTATTAGACGACGGCTGAAGTGTGTTTATGATGCTGAAGTGACGGCAGAACAGAAGATACAAAAAATTTGGAAAGTACAGCCGCTATTTAATCGAATCTTGGAGGGGTGTCATGAAAATACCGGCCCAGAGAAATGAGTATCGACGAAATGATTATTCCATTTACTGGAAAATGTCCGATGCGCCAATACTGTCCAAACAAACCTAACCCTGTGGGGCTGAAGGTGTTCGTTCTTGCTACGCCGCAAGGCGTAGTTTGTGACATGGTGATTTATCAAGGTGATACTACGTTCCCCCATCTAATTAGCCAGGGATTTGGTCTAGGCGAAGCTGCAGTCTTACATTTGACTCAAACTTTGGTTCCCGGGCACTTGTTGTTCTTTGACCGGGTTTTCACCTCAACCAAACTGTGTGACGAACTGTTAAGGCGCGGATTCCATGGCACAGGTGCAGTAATGAAAAATAGAGTACCGAGAAATTGCGTTTTAACAGAAGAAAAAGTTTTTCGAAAGAAAGCAAGAGGAAGTAGCGAAGTAAAAGTTAGAGAGGACGGCAAACTCGCTATTACGATGTGGTTAGATAACAAACCTGTCTTGATGATGTCCACTTGCCATTGCGATCAAAGCCATGATGAATGCGAGCGATGGTCAAAAAAAGACAAACGTTATGAAAGAGTCAGGAGACCTGTAGTTATCAAGACATACAACCAAAATATGGGTGGGGTTGACCTCACAGACAGAATGCTTTCTGTTTGCCCATCCCGTAATCGGACCAAGAAGTGGACAATTCGTGTTATCTCACATCTCTTCGACCTGGCTGTGGTAAATGCGTGGCTGCATTATCGGATTGTACAAGTAGAAAAAGGTGCGTCAATATAAGTTGGATTTGGGCACAAAGCTTATCTCGGATAATGAAGGAAGTGATGATGAAGGCGAAGATGATGTTTATGAAGAAATGGAGCCGAAACATAAGAAACGCAAAATACTTATAAAGCCAAGACCGTCGAAAGAAAGCCGTACGAAAGCTGCTGCACATCTACCTGAATATGGAACAAAACAGTCGCGCTGTAGAAGAAGCGGATGCGCTAAAAAAACGACAGTGTTTTGCAAAAAATGTGATATTTATCTCTGTTTTACGCCAAACAGGAATTGTTATTCCGATTTTTACCAAAACTTAGAATAGTAATAAGGGTATTAGTGTTGATAAAACTTGATTGATCTCTAAATATGTTCCTAATTAACGACTGATTAGTAAGTTTTTAATTGTTTAGTTATTTTTATGACAAGAAATATTAAATTTTGAAAGTTTTGTTTAGAAGAAGGTTTCTTTTTGTTTTTTTTTCAGAAACTTTATGATACCTAAATATGAAGGTTACAATATATGTATTTGTGTTTTATTTATCTTCAGATCACAATTTATATGCTTAAAGTATTCTATGTCCTACACAAATCACATAGTAATAAAGTCACTTTGTCCTACATATAGGACATAGGGAAAAACCGTTTTCACAGATGTAGGATTTTTTTTACTATTTTTCTAGCATATAATACCCCATTACCGATATTATACTAAAATTTCAAAAGCGTACTCCAAAAAAAGTGTCTCTGGTAGGCAGGAGGTTAAACTTATTACTATTTATACAAACGACACACTCAGTAAGTACTTCATTTTAATATTATAACAAATGTTTACTATGCTTAATGTATAAAAACTTAAAAAAATATTTCAAAATTACCCATTTGCTTTTGTATTTATAGTTTTTAATATTAAAATAGAAAAAATCTGTACATTCCAATAAAAAGCGCCACCTAGAACCCGGTTTCTAAATTAAATACTTAAAAAGCGCCCTCTTTTGAAACAACAATAAACCAACTTCGAGATTTAACAAGTGATATTTCTATCATTCAATGGTCGTTAGATGGCAGTGCAATGTCGTTAGGTAGTTCTAGAAATCGTTCCTAGATGGCGTTCAAATGTTGATGTTGTGTAGTAGTACTAGAAATCAACCATCGATGGCGCTTCAACATTTTTATTTGATAATCTAATAAAATAAAGTCATATAATGTAACCTTTTGTTTTTGTTTATTGGATCCTTGGCACCCACATGATAGCACTTCGCGTATTTCCAGGCTATATCGCGGGGCTCAGCAATATGTTTGGGTAAGCATGCATCGATGTAATCTTCTATCATGTCCCGGTCTGAAACACGAAAAAGATTTTGTTATAAAAATATTAAATAAATATTTTGTTATGAGATTGATGGCATTTGTTATCCAATGCGATAATCATGGATCAAGACAAGGGCGTCGCCAGCTTATGACTAAAAGGGGGGGGGGGGGCAATGGGGCAATATAATAGGTAAGGAAGTCAATTGCTCGCACTTTGGTCGCTTTGCGGCTAGCGCCCCTTCTAGAGATCAAATGCCCTTTCCCCTTCTAGAGATCCCTGCCTCCCCTTGGCCACGCCCTTGGATCAAGAGGAGGTGTTGTATCCACGGAGCAATCCACGGAAGAGTCCGAAATATCATTGTCAAATATGTACTGATTTTAATTCTCGTTACGGACTTGGTGGTGTTGCTGTTCAAGTGTCCATACAAAATTTGACAGTGACATTTCGCACTCGCAAACGATACGAATTTGATATTGGTTCGTGCTAAGGGTTCTGATCACAAATCTATATATATTATGGATAGATTGATCGACTGCGTTAATTCATTCAAATACATTACACACACAATGAAGGACAGATTATTTCGTTACTTATTTCTTTATTTATTGTACCAAAGTCTTTCAACAACTTACCCCTAAAGAAAATGTTGTTCGAATATTTGTCGCCAATCTCCATTACATGTTGAGCAAATTCTAATTTATAATATTTAAGTACATTATGTATTTAATTACCTGCACTCGGAACTAAAGACATGGCCGTATCCAATTTGAAGACTCCTTCTTTGGACATAAGATCGTATTTGTTGAACACGCACAATATCCATTCCTTGAGCAATTTATTTTTTATCTGTAAAAAATATACAAAAACATTTAATTAGTTGGGGGTCGTATCACAGGTTTTGTAACCTTGTACAATCTCCAGCTCTCTCAAAGAACTGCATTGTTTATATTGTTTTTGTCATTCAATACCCTTTTAATTAATTATAATGTTACCTTGTGACTTTGTGAGAGAAAATAAAAATCATTCATTCATTCATTCAAAGTTTAAAACCAGCAATGTCGTTATTAATGAACCAATGCTAATGTTTATAAGATTAATCTGGAAAAATATGACTTCAATTCCAGATGGCTTTCATTTTCATCTAAGTTTCAACTAGTACTAATTATGGCATTGATGTGGCGTTTTTATTGTATGACAGAGTTCTATTTTTTTGATATCGGCTAATTGAGTCGAAGCACTGATGTTTTAGGTTTTAGCACACATAATTAGCAAAAATCTTAAGTTTCCGTGCTTTAGCTACTTATGGATTTTTTCGAAATAACGCTATGATGTGAAATTTTAATTCATGTTCATTTTAGTAGGTAATTCAATGTATCTATATAGGTATACCTAAATTTTTTTTGTGACGAGGGGAATGCAGTTACGCACCATACCGTGACGCTGACTAGGCGCACGGCGTGTGTGGGACTCGCCGCCACGGGAAACAGTGCCGACCCTACTCAAGCAGGACCAGTGCGGAAGGCCACACTGATCCTACTCCACTAAAACCCCCCGGTACCCTCCTACGCCCATATGGGGGCGTCTCGGGGCCGACGCACCTGCGTGCGCCACATCTCCGAGCACGCCCCCGGGCAGGCCCGGCCCAACGAGTGGACCGGGCGACGCGCCTCAGGGGGACTGCGCTAGGGTACTAGGCAGTCCCCAGACGCGGTGGCCTATGCCGGAGCGGCACCTAGGACGCGCGGCTGGTCAGGCCGCGCCCAGACCACCTTAGGGCCGTCGAAGACCGGCAGTCACCGCTGCCTGCCTTCTTCGGCCCACCCGTCTACGCCGGAGAGGGGCGGCTAGAGCGTCCTCCTCCCGCTCCCTCTCCGCTGCCTCCTTATCTATATAGGTATACCTGCCAATTTCCCATTTTCAGCTTCAGCACCAAGTCCGGGTTCACCTTGGTCTCCTGAAAACACTCCATGTGCCATCGCTTCAAGTTTTCCTCGTGCTCGTCTTTCAGACCCTAAAAATAGAGAAAATAAGAAATAATTGGTTCTACGGTCTCCTACCGTTTGTAGATTTACGGACCGTTGCAGTAACAGTTTAAGAAAGGTATCTAGGGCACAACGGATCTTCCGCTCGAGTGAGGGCTATCGCGTATGAATCCGCCGCTAGAGGCGCTTGTGTAGCGTGAGGTCTCCGAAATGTCAAATGTTATTGGTTGTGGGTTGACTACGCGGGTTTATTTCTAATTAAAATAATGTTGTGAATAATTGGTAACAATTCGGCTTAATTATGGCAAATATGAGTTATGTGGCAATGAATGTCAGTTATTAAAAATTTGAGCTTAGAAAAATGATTATGTTCCCATTTTTTTCGAATAAAACGGAACTGCGCGTCACTGTGGCATGGCCTGTTATGTTTAGGATATGGTTCTTTTGTGTTAAAATACGATCTAAATGTAACCTTTGATTTCATGTGCGTATTAATAAACTTTAAAAGTTACAATTTAGGACCTCACTCAACAGTAGCGCCATCTGGTGAGGCAGAAAACGGTAGCCCTCATTGGAGCGCCCGTCTGGGGAAGTAACCTTTACCTTATAGAAGATTACAGCACAGTTAAGTGACACTAACTTTTGGTAATGTTGTATTTCTGTAGGTGAATAAAGTATCAGAGCTCCACGGAGTAACCACCAATCTCCTACCACGTCGAACCCTGGAGCGGCGCGACTAATATTTTTGGTATCGCAAATGTCTATAGCAAAAATCTTAATTTTCCGAGACAGGAGTTCAGCTGCAATTATTGAAGTCAAGCAACTTTCGCAGTGGTCGGTAATTGGATGGGTGACCAAAAATCTTCTATCTCGAGATCCTCCGTGTTTCGAGGCTGCATCTGCAGTAGTTAGCACCCGCCAATCCGCACTAGGCCCGTGTGGTGCGTAATGGCCCAATCTCCCTATTTCATCCATAGGGAAGGCCTGTGCCCCAGCAGTCGGGACATTAATAGGCTGATGATGATAATTATGAAACGTTTATAGGCTATGACGGCCGCTTACTATCTGATGGGTCACATGCTTCTTTGCCATCCTTTTAACATATCAAAAATGTTAGCAGTATAATGGCTATTAAATATTCTGCGACAGCAGAATTTTTACATTTTAGTATTTGATACTAAAATAATAAGCACTCACAGTGGCGGACTAAGCTCGTCAGAGGCCCGGGGCGGCAAAATGAGGCCCCCCAGCTTTAAAAAAAATGTAGTTTCTTAGTTTGTTTCGTTAAAATCCGGCGAGTGAAATTTAAATTCCAATTAAATTATTTCGGCTAAATAAACATACTTACATACCTACAATATGGTAACTTTTTAATTGACTAGAAACGTAGGTGCATATTGACTAGAAACTACGGATTAGTTTTTTAACTACTAGGCTAAATTAAACGAAGAATTACTTACTTTTTCCAAATATTTAAAATGCACTAACTCAACTCTAAAGTCATTTACTTTTATACCGCAACAAAAATCAAAAGCACTTACACTTTTTAATGAGGTTACTTTGAACGGATTTTAAATGAGGCTAATGTTTATTTTTCCACGTAAATATAGTGAATGTTATTAAATGTAGGCGTACAAGAGTGAATTATTTGTACTTCATTCATTCAGGGGTACCTGAGGAAGTACCCGCTACAGAGACGGGAATTCCCCCACCGTATTGGATGCGTTCAGCGAAGTTAAAAGAATATTAGTACCGCGTAAAAAGTCTAGATGGCTGTAGTGTTTTGATCTTGATGAAATTATGTAGGTACTAAGCACATTTTAAAGTCTAGTTTAGGATGCGATCAGGGGAACGCGAAGGCATTTGGGGGCCCCCAAGATCGGAGGCCCGGGGCGGGCCGCCCCTTCCGCCCCCCTGTTAGTCCGCCACTGAGCACTCAAATGGCGCAAGTCACAAGCACTTAAATGCCATAGTAAATCGAATTCCCATCATCATCAGCCTATTTTTTTTTTCTTTTATTTTGGCAACAAACAGTCATATATTTTACAAAAGTAACATGTTAAAATTTTTTTTATGAAATAGACCTAACAGTGCCTAAACACAATATTAAAACAGTTCTGAAGTTAGGACATGGTCAGCTAATGAAAATCCAAAATTAAACTATTACAGTACACTAATGTATGACGAAATATTTATACCATATGCATATACATATATATGTGTCTGTGTACACACATATATATACATACGCACTTTATTTTTATTTCAAGCCTCTCCTGACAGTTTTACATTAAGTTTACTTTTAAATGTAGCAAGAGACATATTAAAGAAATCTAATTCAAATTTCAATTAATGTCTCCACTGCTGGGGCACAGGCCTTCCCTATGGACGGAATAGGGAGATTGGGCCATGACCCACCACGCGTGCCCAGTGCTGATTGGCGGGTGCTAACGACTGCAGATGCAGCCGGGACCAACAGCTTAACGTGCCTTCTGAAGCACGGAGGAATTCGAGATAGAAGATTTTTGGTCACCCATCCAATGGCCGACCACTGCGAGAGGTGCTTAACTTGAACGATCGGAGCTGAACGCGCTAACCGCTCTCGCCATCGAGTTCCTCAAGAGTTAGGTCGTTCTTCTTCTTCTTCTTCTTCAACCTTTATCCACCCACTGCTGGGTATAGGTCTCCTCCATGGTGCGCCAATTTGCTCGGTGTTGTGCGATCTGGATCCAATTTCGTCCTGCTACTCTTGTGATGTCATCGGACCATCTGGCGGGCTGCCTACCAACGTTTCTGCGTCCTGTTCTAGGCCGCCACTCCACAATAGCTCGACTCCACCTGTCATCCGTTCCGCGAGCCACGTGACCTGCCCACCTCCACTTCTTCCCTGCGAGTTCGCGAGCAATGTCGGGTAGCTTTGTTCGTTTCCGTATGTCCTCATTGCGTACACGATCTCTCAGGGATATACCGAGCATGGCACGCTCCATTTTTCTCTGAGCGACTTGCATGGTGTGGACATGTTGCCTTGTCATAGTCCAGGTTTCGGCTCCATAAGTCAGAACAGGAAGAACACATTGGGTGAATGCGCGACGTTTGAGGAAATGTGGTATCTTACTTTTGAAGATGTCGGATAATTTGCCGAACGCTGCCCAACCCAGTCTTTTCCTCTCTTCCAGTCTTTCAGATTAGGTCGTTAATCTAATCCAAAAAATGAGAAAAATCACATTCAGTGTACTGATATTAGTAACAGTCCACTTACCAATATTGAGGTGAAGAGTAGAAATGCAGGAAATAATGTTAATTTCATTTTCCTTTCTTTGTTCTCTGTGATAATCAACAGGTGTACACTGTCTGAATGACAATACGACACTTCGCCAGAACTCAGCTGAATGTGATTGTCATAGTTAATAACATCAGTTACCCCATTTTCTGATACGTTAGGGCGGCTGCACTCTTTAGGCTAAAAAGGTTTGAATAGGCCGTTTTATCAACGCAACGTGGTGAAACTCAGTAGTCAAACTAATTTATCCAACATTAATAATAGTTTGCAGATAGTCAAATTCTCTCCAATGACGGAAAAACAGTCAAGCGTAAAATTTAATCATATTCGGAAACTAAACTTATTGGTTATTTTTAGAAAAACTATTGGTTATTTTTATGAAAATTACCGTCTTGAGAAGGGCTGGAAAGAATTCGACACGGCCATCAGGGCCTCGGTAGCATAATGATCAGTGCATTCGCTCGGATAGCGAAGGGTGCGGTTTCGAGTCCCGTGTACTGCATGGTCCGCGTGGATTTTTTTCTACTAATATTTTCTACTATAATTACATTTTTGAGAACAAAAAGATTGTACACCAATCTACTTTGCTAAGAAAAAAAATAACCTCAATTTATAAATCATACAGTTTGTGTAAATGATGGCAACGCGGATCAAACTGTATGATTGTACGTTGCTTTTTTGGTGTGTGTATAGGAAAATACCCCGTTTATAAGGAAAAAAAAAACGTACTGAAAAAATGCAAAATACATATTTAGTCTGCAATTGGCCTTATTCCCTGCCCTTTGTCTCATTTACCACATATTTTTAATTTCTGAATTATAAACATCATTGTTTTAGGTCAATGGCTAGTGAATTAAATCTAAACATGACTATTACTAATAGAAATTTATTGAATGGATTTTATATTAATGAACTTGGTTTATGTAGATTTACGTTTATCATAATAGATTACCGCTGAGTTTAGTCATTCTTGAAAATCATTGCAGTCGGAGTAAGCTTTTATGAAATTTTTCTGCAGCAGAAAGACAGATAAGCCATATCCGGAACATAAAAATCCCAGATTAGCAGAACGACAGATTTGCATAAGGGCAGATAATGTATGGACGTCGTCAAAAAAATTTTCTAACAACGAAGGGTTGTACTTAGTGTTACCATCTGTCCGGATTAGTTCGGACATGTCCTGACTTTTAGACTATAGTCTGGACTTTATCCGACTCTTTAAATTGTCCGAATTTTACAATTTACATTGAATATGAATACTAAAAGTACATATTGATTTAAATACCATACCATTGTAACTAAGTGAGGAATGGTACCATTGTTTGACTAAAAAGTCTGGACTTTTTTCAAAATGTCAGGACTTGAAATTCCAGACAAAACCCTAGGTGTAGTAGACTGTAGGTTGAGGGATTGCCACCAGGGGATACAAAAATACCTGCGAAACTTTTACTCTTCCAGTTTATTCCAGCTGTTAAAAAAATCATGCTTTCAACTCCTCAAGTTTACCGGTAATAGCAAAATACGTTTTTTTCTTAACTTCACATACGATAAAAAATTATCAAGCTATCACGAGTTTATTCAATGGCAAAGGAGATTGCTCAAATTGGCCTAAATGCACATAAAATATTGACATACACGGTAATTCTTGGCGTTATTTATAATTTAATTTACAGTCATTAGATTTCAACGGACACCTTTGTATAATATATTTACTTTAAAAAGGACTTTTAATTTTACCCGTTTGGAAAACAAACGAATCATTTTTAATGGCTATGGGTGTAGTATCATTTAGCCAAAGACTGATCGAAGTTGTTTATATAACATAAAAACAAATCTATTTTGTGAAGATCGAGTTTTTTTTTATTACATTGTGGTATTAATATCCACAACTATATTATCATTTTCACTAGATGCAAATGTGCTCAGACAATTATTATAGATAGTAGGCGACATCATAAAGTCTATTGCCATACATTTTTCGCCAAACACCTCCATAAACACATTATAATCTGTATAAGTATATGTTAGACTTTAAGGTATCCTATCTATGGGCCTACGTTCCCTGACTATAAATTAATAAATAAATAAAATTATAATGTATGATGCACTAAAAATCTAAAATATGGTTATCTTAAAAACATAAAAAAAATAATGAAGCAACTGAATATATGGCTATAGAACCTAAATCTCATAGCTTTCTTTAACGAGAGTTCATCACACAGTTTCTGTCACAGAGTACCTTATTATAACCGGAAATGACACCTGATTTTAAAAGTTACTCTAATGCATTCACTTTAAAAACAGGCTACTATCTGTTAATCTACATGCTCTATATACCTGAATCTAATCCATAATTTCGGTACTTGGCTTGATTTCCATAATTTACTTTATAACTTATTTGTTTTTTATTATTTTAATATGTTCAGTGTATATGGTTTATAGAAGTTCTCAGGGGTGTCCGTCAATAATATTCGTTTCTACAGTAATTTATATATAATTTCGAATCTAGGAAACAATTTTTCATGATTATTGGTCTTTAGGCCAAACATGTATGGAAGCTGAGCAATCTCCTTTCTGCAATAGAATGTTCGCTGCTTTTCGCCAAAGTTACAAAGATGAATAAATTCGTCTTAAAGTATTAATATTTCCAGTTTTATTTTTGAAATGTAAATATTGAATATTATTTTTGTTTTCTGTGTGTTTAACAGTGAATATCCTTCACCCCCACCGCTAGTAATGCAAATGTAATAATCTATGTATTTTCCTAATGTCTGACAATTTTTTTCAGTGTGAAACTTCAGGGTGTTACGTTCTCCTCAAGAAGTACTGGAGGAAGAACAAGCTAATAACAAGGAGATTCTCTCTCTATACACGAACCAGGAGGGACGCGTGAGATTATTACAATAAAGGTTGCAAGCCACGCTCCAGTCTTATGTAACCCGACCGTAACTGCGGACAGATACAATCCTTAACCTATAGTAATCAAGGTATTTCTCTAACTAACCCTGGATGAACGGTGCAGAGGCACCGCGAGGGGAGGTTGGACTCCGGACTACCCATTTCCATATAATATATAACTGGTTGTCTCATTGAGAACAAGAATTAACATTATATACAGCATTACCAATATCGACAAACGAGCCGTAGGACTCCTAATATCCACCTAATAATTTATTATCTGGAAAAGTCTAGTTTTGCGGTTTCTCAATTGACAGTCCAATGCAGAGTAGGTAAAATATATTAGATATAGTTTAAGAACTCATGTCAGTACATTATAATTTGTTATGAATATCTAGTATTTATACAACTCCATCTTTATGTTAACTTAATGATTTGTTCACTGAGAAGGAAGTGAAGTTATATTAGCTATAACTTTAAAACTACTGTATTTACCTGATAAGCCTTTGGAACGCTTAAAATTTATATAAAGCCATTTTCTTTATGATATCAGTTAGTAAAATATAATTATAACATTATCCTTATTTTTTGTTTTCTTTCTTTGTTTCCCCTGTGCTCTGAGGTAGACTAGAGGAGTAGTGGAAGGAGACAAAATACCATTACATGTACTTCTGCCTTTATGCAAATCTGTTTTTCTGCTGCAGAGGGTTTATAATTTATGCATTACTAGCTGTGCTCCGCGGAGTTACCCGCGGCTTATTAGGGATATTTCCCGGCAGTATAACGTAGCCTATGTGCTAATCCAGGTTGTCAGCTAACTCCATACCAAATTTTATTAAAATCGCTCCAGCCGTTTAGACGTGAAGAAGTAACAAACATACACACTCACAAACTTTCGCCTTTACAATATTAGTGTGATTAAGGTTTATGAGTACATAATATCCATATATATTCAGATATGTTCAGGCATCTAGAAGTAACGATTAAATAATAAAATGCATTTATAAATCGTATCAAATACATAAATCACTACAACACCCCTTTTTTTCAATAGTTGTGATACTTCAGTGTATCACAACTTTAGATTAAAACAAAAACGGAAGATACGGTACGCTCATATTAGCATCAAATAAAATATGATCCGACTCAACTACATAAGCAACTCCCACACACGCACACGTCTGTATATAAACATTCAAGCGAGCGAGCGAGACAGAAGTTATAATATTTGTTGTTGTTGTAATATTAATGGCAAATACATCTCACACCTTCGATTCGCGGACGACATCGTCATCCTGGCTGAAATCCTGCAAGAGCTATAGGAGATGGTGAGCAGCCTGGCTGAATCTTCCAAACGCATCGGACTCCGGATTAACTTGGATAAAACCAAGGTCATTTTCTATCTTCTGTCTATCTAGGACAAATGCTCCGATTAGGCAGAAACAACTTCGAGAGAGAAGCCAATAGAAGAATTCAGTTGGGCTGGCCAGCATTTCGTAAGATTCGTCAAGTCTTCTCGTCACCCATCCTTCTTCTACCAGTCTTCGACCAGTGCGTTCTCCCAGTTATGACATACGGCGCCGAGACGTGGACACTCACGGCTGGACGAGTCCACCAGTTTAAAGTCGCTCAGAGAGCTATGGAAAGGGCTATGCTCGGAGTATCCCTGAAGGACCGCATCAGAAATGATGTAATCCGACAGAGAACCAAAGTCACCGACATAGCCCACCGAATTAGCAAACTGAAGTGGTAGTGGGCTGGTCACATTAGCCGCAGAACTGATGGTTTGAACGTAGTGTAGGACGCCCTGAGACAAGAAGGGATGATGATATTCGTAGGCTGGCTGGAGTGGGCTGGATGAGAGTAGCACAAAATCGGGAACAGCATTAGGGGAGACCTATGTCCAGCAGTCCAGACGAACATGGGTTGATGATAATGATGAGCGGTACTGTATGCTTCAACGCAACACGAGTAAAACGGCGAGTCCGCTTCCGAATCCGCATGGCTAAGCTGTATTGTTGTCCTTTTCTTGATAATAAAATGGCGATTAGACGTTAATAACATTCACGACAAACCGTGATGTTTGAGAAAAAAACGATTTTACAGTTTTACAAACGAAAAGGGTTGCCGAGGCATTTGTAATTAGATTTTGAACTATTTGTGTTATTTATAAAAGCATCGAAGGCATTGTTTTATCTTTATAACACAGAATATACGCAATATCGTTATATTGAGTGCACATGCAACGTGTTTGAATGTCCAATTGTGACTAAAGCCAATTGTGGTCATGCGCCACAAATTAAACGGATCAATTTTGAGCCGCGAGTGTCGTATCTTCCCTTTTTGTTTATTTAATCTAAAGTCACAACATATTTAATGCAATAAAAATATAATAATATTTAGGTATATAGGATCAAAGAAAACCTTTTACGAGTAGGTATCATCTTTAATTACTTATTTGTATAACCGAAACTAGTAAATTCGTTGTAGGCAATACCTACTGCTTACGGAATATTGCGGATAGAAATTCACACAACCATTTTGTTTAAAAACTACTACTTATTAAAATGGAATGAAACAAAACAGAATTTGACAGTGGAAAAACAATGTGAATTCTGTAGATGAACATTGCATTAATATTTAACAAAGTTACAGGTTAGAAACGAAGCTAGTTACAAACACAAAAGTAACTTCTCGAATTGTTTATGAAAGAAATTTTAAAACATTTGAAGATATTGTGTCTGCGATAAAGTGATAACTGAACTATGTCGTCAACATAAAGGCTGATTTACACTTTGGTAACTACAGCAGCGAGTTTAGAAATCGGAATCGGATCTGAATCGGATCGGAATCGGATCGGAATCGGATCGGAATCGGATCGGAAAGTTAAGCAGTATGTACTCAACTGGCAAAAACATGTGAAAACAATGACAAGAAGACTAGCCAAGACCGCAAGTTAACTCACTATTGTAATTACCGAAGTTAAAATCAGCCTTAAAGTTCAAAATGCAATAGTCAGTTTATAGGAAGATGGCGTGCTTGGGGTCCTTCTCGTGGTAGCATTTGACGTAGTTCCACGCTGTCTGGTGGGGTGTGTTCCCCTTGTTGGCTAAGCAGGTGTCGATCAACTTCTCCACTTGCGGCTTGTCAGCTGTAAAAAAAAGAAAACACTTTATGCAACGAAAACAAAAGAAAGCAGGGCTTGAAACCGGTTTCCAAAATACCGGTAAATAAAGGTTAATACCGGTTTTTTGTAAAGGTTTCGTTCGGAGCGCGTCTGAAATGAAAGCGGTAGGTACCTAAAACCTTAATAAACCGGTTTAATCCAGAGCGACACGTGCATGCGTCGGCATCGCTTAAAGTTTGTTTTGTTTGAACTAATCAAGTCATAACTTGTTAATGCTCAGAGATTGATGCATTTATTGACACGATTGCTAGCGTCTAGTGAGTTAAGTTATTCATTTATTATCGATGCCGTCAGAAAGAGCGAAATGAAACCCTTTAAATACCGCTAAATTGATTCAAACCCTATTTGATGTTTTAAGGTTAAGGTAGAGCCGAACCTAAATAAAACGCTCCTAATGTACTTGACACTGATTTAGGTTTGAAAATTAACCAGTAAACAAGCCCTGAAAGAAAGATTACACTGTCTCACCTTTCCTTCTTTTCTTATGTTAAAAGCACAGGACATAGAAAAAGGTTAGAAGGCTGATCATATGGTACCGCTTGTACGGGAACCGATGTCGCCGGTTCACCCCCACTACACTTCCGCCTAATAGATAATAGCCAATCAAACGGCGCGACATCAAACAATTAGACCAATCAGCGCTCACAGCCGCGAGCAACGACGCAATCAGAACCAAGATTTGGTCAAGTTATTAGCATTTAATTACAGATAACTGTGGTGCGCCTACCCTGCCCACAATGACCTTACCTCTTTCTGTTTTTTGTGGTTACAAGGGTGACAAAGAAGCAAACATTGAAAAGAACTGAACTTGGTACTCCCCCTTTGCGAGATTATCCTATACTCTAAACAAATATGGTGACATTGTCGACATACATCATGACTCTGTGATCTCATTGCGAAACAAATTGTATGATCAAATATATCCTCCGAATTCATAAAAAAATATTTTGAAACATATTTAAAGAAACACACACACACATACACATTTAATTTTAGTTAAATAATATATGCTTAAGCTTAATGTAATGCATGCTGAGTTCACCTATAAGTTTACACATTATACTTATATAGTACAGTGCATGCGGGGTATCTCGGACAAGCAGCGGCTGGGCTGGCGGTAACCAAGGAGAAACGCGAGAATCTTGTCATTGAACTCAATCAGGCTTTGGACCACATTTCCGAATGGGGTACCAGGAACTTGGTTGAGTTCAATGCCAAAAAAACTCAGGCTTGCGCTTTCACGGCAAAAACATCGTCATTCCTTCCCCTTCCATCTCTTCAGGGCACAACACTACCGCTGCAGAGCAACATTTCCATGCTCGGTATGGAAGTTCGCTCAGACCTGAATCCAAAGAACTACATCGAAACCGTGATCAAAACAGCTTCACGCAAACTCGGAGTCCTGAACAAGGTGCGGCGTTTTTTCACGCCCGATCAACTGTGCTTGTTGTACAAAACGCAAGTGCGGTCCTGCGTGGAATATTGCTCGCACCTCTGGGATGGCTCCGCCAAGTACTTGCTCGATGCTTTGGATAGGTTACAGCGACGCGCGATCCGCATCATAGGCGATGAGGAGGTGACTAAACACCTTGAGCCTCTTCAATTACGCCGTGACGTGGCGTCACTAAGCGCGTTCTATCGTCTGTACCACGGCGAGTGTTCTGAGGAGTTATTCTCTCTTATCCCACCTTCTCCTTTCCTTCAGAGGACCACGCGCGCTGGCCTACGTTGTCATCGTCTAACTGTGGCCACAATTCCAACGCGTACAAAGAAATTTGGTGACTCATTTCTTTGTCGCACTATCCGTAAATGGAATGCTCTGTCCGCTCACGTGTTCCCTCCCTCTTACAACCTGGGATCCTTTAAAAGAGGCGTGAAGAAGCAACATGCAGGCCGGCAGGGTGAAGATGGCTGGTGTGGCAGGTAAAACTGCTGTATCAGCTATCGTCACGTCTGGACTTCACCTTCACTTAACATCAGGTGGGGTGGAGTCATTTGTCGGACCTATCTATAAAAAAAAAAAAATATCACTGAAAGTAAAATTGTTTTAAATAAGATGTATTGATGTAGTAACTGTTGGTGATCCAATCATCATCATCATCATCATCAACAGCCTATCCTAGTCCACTGACTAGACATAGGCCTCTCCAATTGCACGCCACTCAGATCGATCTTGGGCTACTCGCATCCAGCTCCTGCCAGCCACCTTGCGCAAATCATCACTCCACCGTGCCTGAGGACGTCCTACACTACGTTTGACTAGACGCGGTCTCCACTCCAGAACTCGTCTACCCCAACGGTTATCGGTTCTTCGGCAAATATGGTCAGCCCACTGCCACTTCAGCTTACTAATCCGGTGGGCTATGTCGATAACTCTGGTTCTCTGTCGGATTACCTCATTTCTGATGCGATCCTTCAGAGAAACGCCGAGCATAGCCCTTTCCATAATCCAATAATGAGAGAAAAAAACATTCCTAAATCTAGTAGTTGTTGACTTACCAGGGTTTGCGACTTTAGCTAAGGCGACGTCTTTCTTGAATTTACCCTCCTTCGTCATCAGTTCGGATTTGATCAACATACAGAGGGCATATTTCTTCAGAGCTTCGTTGTCACTCTGTCGAACATATTTAATTTAAATAACATAGTTATAATTTTTGTTATTTTTAAAGCATGTAACTGCTTGATGTTTAAATCTAATGAAAATATAACTAGAAAAAATTCCACGCGGACCAGGCAGCAGGCAGCAGCAGCAGGCAGGTCCCGTCTGCTGCCTGGTCCGCGTGGAATTTTTTCTAGTTATATTTTCATTAGATTTAAATAACATAGGTTTTTCATAACATGTGTCGAGAACAGACTCGAGTGAATAGTGAAAATGTGAACAGTGGTACGGGTATCGAACGCAATAAAAGATTTCGTCGGAGGGCAGACCGATATGTCTTCCAATAACAGCCTACCCGCAATTACTTCAGTTACTCCGTGATCATGGCGCTTGCAACAGTGCCGAAATATCGGAAACTCGCTAAAAACAAGGTAAGTACATGGTAACAATCCCGTAAATAACTTATATTACTATAATGTTGGTGGACCATGAAAGTTTAAAACAATATAACACAGGTTTTTTGATAAATTTAACATTCAAAGGCATTCAGTTCGTTCCTGAATCATCATCATCATCAGCCTATTAATGTCCTCACTGTAGGGGCACAGGCCTTTCCTATGGTTAAAGATGGAATAGCGAAATTGGGCCATGACCCACAACGCGGGCCCATTGCGGATTGGTGGTACTGACAACTGCAGATGCAGCCGGGACCAACGGCTTAACGTGTCTTACGCAGCACGGAGGGGCTCGAGATAGTAAATTTTTGGTAACCCATCCTATGACCGACCATTGCGAATGTCGCTTAACTTCAACGATCGCAGACGAACGCTAACCACTTGCGCCATCGAGCTAGGTTCCTGAATGACACATGCTTTCCCTATGGATGGAATAGGGAGATTGGGCCATGACCCACCACGCGGGCCCAGTGCGGATTGGTGGGTGCTAACGACCGCAGATGCAGCCGGGGCCAACGGCTTAACGTGCCTTCCGAAGCACGGAGGAGCTCGAGATAGTAAATTTTTGGTCACCCATCTAATGACCGACCACTGCGAAAGTTGCTTAACTCCAACGATCGCAGCCGAACGCGCTAACCACTTGCGCCATCGAGCTCCTTATAGTCTCAGTATATTTTAATGTAATTACCTTGTAATCGCCAGCTTTGAGTTTGTTGACTAGTTGCTCGTCGACCTTGGTCTCCGCCAGGCATTCTGACTTGTGTTTTTTCAGTTTCTCTTTTTGTTCATCAGTTAGTGCCTGGAAAGACAAGAAATTAAAATAAATAAATATTTCCACCACTCACACCGATTATCCTAGCCCCAAAGTAAGCAATGAAGGCTTGTATTATGGGATACTAGGGTAACGAATAGAATACATACACAACACATAAATAAGTATATTTATATAGAAATACATATTAAATATCTAGTACTGGAGTACAAATGCTATGGATTCATCACACAAATATCTGTTCCCACCGGGATTCCAACCCGGGACCTTGCTAGTACACCTTGAAACCCGGCGTATATATCACTCAGCCACGGAGGTCATCAAATTGTGCCGTTATAACAAAAGAATGACAAAAAAATTGCTACAATAGGGATGATGACTAATTTTTTTCTTGGTTTATCAGGTAAATTATCAATAAAAGTATTGGACACGAATTTTTTCTTTTTTCATATAATATAAACATTGAAGAGATATATTGATTTGAAAATTCGCATGACGTCACGTTTTACAATTAAACAAGTACAATTTTCACTCAAAAGTGACGTCACGAGCCCCTACTCCCAAACTTTGACGCGCATAACTTTGGCATTTTTTGGTTAATTGCCCAAAGAAAAAATACGTGTCCATTATTTTTTGATCATCTAACTCTATTCATCATCTAAATAGAATTTCGTTTACTGTACCCCGTCATCACCCCTAATCAAAGCATTCTACAACTTAATGTGTGCGTGTGTAAATCAATCGTCCTTAAAAAAACTTTGGATGAAATAAGACACACGGAAAGAATGTAACCCTGGTGTATTATAATATACAATTCTTTGCAATTTACATAGTTCGCGGAGCCGACATTTATTGTACAAGTGAATTAGGAGTTCAAGAATATCTAAGATGATGAGCTATTTATTTATATATTCTGTACACACAAAAAATAATACAGGAGCAACTTAATTAAATATTACATGTAGAAAGGCACAACTTATTACAATCTGAGATTTATTCCAATAGGCCCGTAGTAGGAAAGAATATAGGTAAAGGTATTCAGCGTGTACATCTGAATATATAAATACATTTATAATTTTTATTATTTTTAAAGCATGTAACTGCTTGATGTTTAAATCTAAAGAAAATATAACTAGAAAAAATTCCTCGCGGACCAGGCAGCAGACGGGACTCGAACCCGCACCCTTCGCAATCCGGGCGAATGCACTGACCAATTATGCTACCGCGGCCCTCACGGACCGCGTCCAAATTCTTTCTAGCTATTCTTAAGCTGCAAGGCAGCGCCATCTCTTCGCATTATAGGTAAACCCACAATGTCAAATGAATACTTTTACAAGTATTAAACATTTGAAAGAAGAAATAGCAATTATAGTTATAATTTTTATTATTTTTAAAGCATGTAACTGCTTGATGTTTAAATCTAAAGAAAATATAACTAGAAAAAATTGATTGATTTGGATTGCGAAGGGTGCGGGTTCGAGTCCCGTCTGCTGCCTGGTCCGCGAGGAATTTTTTCTAGTTATATTTTCTTTAGATATAAATACATGTTAATACCAATAAGTATGGGGTTTACATATATGACATGACAAATCATTTGAATGAACAAGTGAAGTTTGATAACCGAAAGGGGTCTCTATCTGAAACATCTCCAATTAGTTTTTCTAAGACGAAATAAAGTTTATATCTAAAAACACGTATCCCAGTTCTTAAAACGGACAAAAAATAAACAAAAGAAAATAAAGGAAGAACAAAGCCTTTTTATTAACTGCCAGTAAAAATGAAGCATTTAAACTGTGAATGCTAACTTTTTCTTCGCAAAGATTTTATTTCTGGCTTTGTTTTTTTTTAACTTACCTGAGCGGCAACTATGCAAACAGCCAACACGATAAAAGCCTTCATATTGATCACTTGGTGTGCAGGATAATGCTCTGTACTTACAGTAATAAAAACCAACAGTGATCCAGTTTATATAGTCTACAGTTTGGAGTCTATACAAAACTACAGGGGATGGTAAACATTTCTGTAATCCTCAACAAATAGGAAGAAGGATCTATCTAAAGATTTTCTTCTAGTAAATTTTTTTTCAGATTTATATAATCATCATCATCAGCCTATTAATGTCCCCACTGCTGGGGCACAGGCCTTCCCTATGGATGGATTAGGGAGATTGGGCCATGACCCACCACGCGGGCCCAGTGCGGGTTGGTGGGACGACTGCAGATGCAGCCGGGACCAACGGCTTAACGTGCATTCCGAAGCACATAGGAGCACGGGATAGTAAATTTTTGGTCACCCATCCAATGACCGACCACTGCGAAAGTTGCTCAACTTCAACGACCGCAGCCGAACGCGCTAACCACTGGCGCCATCGAGCTCGGCGCCATCCAAATTTAGTAAAAACTATTTTTTTCTAGTAAAAAAGGAAGAACGAAATTTACGTAAACTCTTTATATTATTACGATGTGTTTCTAAAAATTAAATGGTTTGTATTTTTACAAAAATCTATTTTTAGTATAGTACAACTATATTTTTTTTTATACTAAAACAAATGCCGTGTCATTCTGATTCGCAAAATAGCTTTCAAAGCTACTTTTATCAAAAAAATAAACAAATCGCTATTAATATTTGTTCATATGATATTATGTACGACTGTTTGTTCCTTATTAAATAAATCAAATAAAATAAAATAATATTAAACAAAAAAAATCTGATTATTGAATAACCAAAAATATTATAGTACTTAATCTGAAAGACGTAAAAAGGTTTTCTTCTCCTGCCTATTGGTCCAGTCTGGAATAATCCAGGAGCGTCTCGTGTCACAGAACTTGCAGCCTGTGTTCAAACACACCGGTGGAAAATTTTAAATACTGAACTACATATCGCGATCGGGTTTTTTTAAAATCGTATCTTTATTACGGTTAGCAGCTTTGGTCTGCGATTGTGGAATATGTTTTATCCGGTTTTAGGATGGGTAACAAAAACAACAAATATTTCGAGATTCTCTGTGCTCCTGCAATATCAAATTCGAATAGTTGAATTCGTTCTCGATACGTGTTAAATGTCAAGAAGTTTTGTATGGAAATTAGTAATGAGAATTCAAAATCTTTCAATTAAATACTTCTCGACATTTGCCGCGTATTGTTACTAATTCGATATTGGTTTTTGCTTAGGGTTATGGTAGCTCGCTAAGTCGTATGGAATTGATAAAGTAATTAATGTATATATTAATAAATTCGCACTGCGTTTGCGTTTGTGGATAATGGCCGATTCTACCTATCTGGTTCTGTACATAGCAAAGATTTGACCTACTGCAGAGAGCCGAAAATCTTTTTCATCGTGCAATACAGAATATTATCCATAAAAAACCTGCAGTGCTGTTGTCACAGCGGAATCTGCGGTGTGATTTGAAATTAGGACACGAATTTAAAATCACATTAATTATTCTGAGGAGTTATTCTCCCTTAAAGTCCCCACTGCTGGGGCACAGGCCTTCCCTATGGATGGATTAGGGAGATTGGGCCATAACCCACCACGCGGGCCCAGTGCGGGTTGGTGGGTGCTAACGACTGCAGATGCAGCCGGGACCAACAGCTTAACGTGCCTTCCGAAGCACGGAGGAGCTCGAGATAGTAAATTTGTGGTCACCCATCCAATGACCGACCACTGCGAAAGTTGCTCAACTTGAAGTTTAATAGGCTGATGATGATAATGATGATGATTCTCCCTTATCCCTCCATCACCTTTTCTTTATAGGACCACGCGTGCTGGCCTACGTTGCCACCGACTTACTGTGGCCACAATTCCTACCCGAACAAAGAAATTTGGTGACTCATTTCTTTGTCGTACTATTCGTAAGTGGAATTCTTTACCCGCGCAAGTGTTCCCTCCCTCTTATAATCTGGGGTCCTTTAAGAGAGGCGCGAAGAAGCATTTTTGCAGGCCGGCAAGGTGAGAATGATTGGTGTAGCAGCTTATAACTGCTGTACCAGCTATCTTCGCGTTTGGACTTTATAACCACTGAACATCAGGTGGGGTAGAGTCATTTGCCTACCTTTATATATAAAAAAAAAGTAAAATTCATACCTATTAATTGCAAATCACACGTGAATTCCACAGTGAAAAGTCAGTTTATTCTTACAGAATAGCACAGCTGTTTGTAAAAAATAAAAGTAGGTACCTATAAACTATAAAGATATATTTTATTTATAATTGCTTATTAAATTTCACGTAGTGTGATCAATCCCTCGCCCTAACTGATAAATTGCAGGTCTAACGACATCAATGGACGGTCCATCGTTGATTTATAGATGTCCGTTGACCCTAGTGGCCTCTGCAATCGACAATCATGATTGTCACCTGGTGAAAACAATCATTGTCGTGATCGCTTTGTTTGTTATAAAACTGCTTCCTTTATGTAGGCTTATATAGAAAACTAGCGGCCCGCCCTCGCTTCGCTTCGGTGTAGAACTGAAGTGTAGACTACAGTTTTTGTTTTCAGGCTTGTATTATACACAATGACATTCATCTATGATTCTTCTTATACTATAACTGCATGCAGAATCTCAGCCCCATCGGTTTAAAATTGACAAAGTTTCATACAAACTTTCATTCCCTATTTTATTCCCTTGGGGATAGAATTGATCAAAATCCTTTCTTAGCGGATGTCTACGTCATAAAATCTACCTGCATGCCAAATTTCAGTCCGATCCTTCCAGTGGTTTGGGCTGTGCGTTGATAGATCACTATGTCAGTCAGTCACCTTTGAGTTTTATATATGTAGATATATATATATATATTTGTTTCTTAGGTTTTCACGCACATCACTCATTAAATAAAACTAGTTTTTACGGGTTAATGCACGAAAACTTTATTTATTTATGACGTTTCGTAGCCTTTACAGGCTACGTCGTCAGAATAAAACTTTTATATTATTATAATAAACCTTCGAAGGTAGCTCGACAAATTAAATAAAAGTTTTATTCTGACGACGTAGCCTGTAAAGGCTACGAAATGTCATAAAAAAATAAAGTTTTCGTGCATTAACCCTTAAAAACTAGTTATATTTAATGTAGATATATATTTCAGCTTATTTTCTATATCTACTCATTCGGTTAATATCCTTGGTATATATTAAGCAAAGACGTGTTAAATACTGTATGATGTCTGCTTTTATTTTCTGTTTGTTTGAATATGGATTTTATTTTTAATAATAATGTCCCTGAATTCTAATAATTTCATCAAGGTCTTCGACAGCTGTGCTATGTCCAGGATATTTTGTACCCGCATTGTAATATACCGTGTTCTGCGGTAATATATTTAATTAAAATATCACAACTGTGTTAGAGCTTATGAGAGTGAAGTTTATAAAGAGTTTCCGTTAGAATGGAAAAGGGTAAATTGGTAAAATAACCTTTTTCATGCAAGGCTGAGGAGCTTGATGGCTCAAGTATTTTAAGGTTTAGATACGAGCGCCTCGCAGCCGACTTTATAACACCTGCAGCCGTCGACCCCTTTCGGCAGCAGTCGTCATCGATAGTAGCCTTCGACTTCTTCCGTCAACGTGACGACAAACGCCGCCGACGAGCCGTCAGCCGCAGACGGGTCGACGGCAGTTATTGTCATCTCGAAGGCTGGTTGACGGCTGCCCTTGACGGGTAGATGACTGGAGGGTGGCGAGGGCTGCAGTTGCTATGCCGTCGGCTGCGAGCCGCTCGTATATATAAACGTCTAAAATAACGACCTTTTGGGTAGGATTAGGTTAAGTATTCGGGCCGGTAAGGTAAGGATCTCTAGAGTGACACCCATCATGACTCTACTCTCACACAGCTGCAGTCGTCAACTACTGCCGTCAACGTGGCGACGACCGCCGCCGACGAGCCGTCCGCCACGCACAAGTCGATAGGTGTCGTCGGCTGTTTGACGGGTGATCGACAGCTGCCATCGATGGGTTGGTTGACGGCTCGTTGGCGGCGACTGAAGGACATAATTTTTACAGTGCTTTATGGTCATCGGACGGGGGGCGGTACGGTGGGCACTAGGCCACGTACCCAGCCCCCACGCGCGAGCCATCCTGCGCACGTCTGCGGGGACCCCGTAATACCTCGGGAGACCCCTGCCGTGGAGCCCCGGCGAGGCCGGGAAGCTGCTGGCGGCGGAGTCGCTGTGTAGAAGGTGTTCGCAGGATTTTTTAGCGGATATTATGCCGTAAAGCGCCCGTAAGAGTTGCGGGGTCCTCGGTGGTCAGCCACTGGGGGGTCCGTAAGACTTGCGGGAGCCAGATATGAGGTCCGTTCGGCAGTGTGCCTCATAAAGGCGCCGTCGTCTGTAAAAAGACTTTTTACCTGCGTTATAAAAAAAAAGTGCTTTATGGTGCGTGCGGTGATGTCTGTTTGCTACCTAAAATCACTGCCGGATTTAGGGGAGGGCAACCGGGGCGAAAGCTCCGGGGCCTCCACAAACGGGGGGCCCCCACAATAGAGACTTGGGAAAAAAAAATCTTTCAAATTCCAACTAGTAAACACTTGTAAACATCTTTTCCTTTGATATTTTTTTTTTGCTTTTTTACCTTTACCTACAGACTTTGTACATCTAACATTCATGATTATTTGATTATATTAATCTTAAATAACAGAAATCATTGATCTATATTTGTTCATTCCAATCAGACAGTCAGTGAAATATCAAAATCTCAAATGGCCCTGATAAGCATTTCCAATTCACTACCCATCTTGAGGGAGGACCCCAATCGCTTAATGGCTGAGTGGGGTGGTACTTGCCCGCAGGGCCGAATTTAAGGCAGGGCAGGTGGAGCTGTGGCCCAGGGGCCTCCACAACAGCTTAAGAAATAACAACATTTCGATGGGTTAATAATAATACAAATTACATACAAATCCTAAGTGGCCCGGGGCTTCCACAATCCTAAATCCGGCCCTGCCTAAAATTCAACCTT